TTTTTTTTTTTTTTTTTTTTTTTTTTTTTTTTTTTTTTTTTGTTATTGAGAGGGTCCCTGGAGGACTAGTGGTTAGGCATTGCTGCTCTCACCGCCGCTGCCCGGGTTCGATTCCCAATCAGGGAACCGACCCCAGCCACTAGGATTGCACATGGCAGTGCACTCCAGTGCCGGTCCCAAGCGTGGATTAAAAAAAAATTGGAGAGGGTTGTGTCAGGAAGGACATCTGGCATAAAAACTGTGCCAAATCAAATATGCACATCAGTGATCCACCATGGCAACGCCTAACAGGAGTAGCCCAAGAAAAAAAACTGCTATTGAGACTACATTTGTTTGGGGAAAAAAAAAGGTTGATATTCACTGACACATAGTGCAAAGTCACATAGTGGTGTTAAAAAATGTGATGAGTTACTAAATAGGAAATGGTGTTCATTTCTCAAAAAGGGGTTCATTTTGTATAGTGTTCACTTCAAGAACCCTAATAAATAGCAGTGTAGAAATTTGTGGACATTTAATATAGCAAGAGGCTTTTAGTATGTGTGATCAAAGGGTTTTATGCCTTTATCTGTTGGTAAATGCAAACGTTTTAAGCCCAGCATACTAGGAGCATGAGTGGTGTAAAGGAGAAGAATTATATAGACGCTTCAAATGGTCTTGAATATAGACCCAGAGCAGGAACTGATGGAAATTGGGGGAAAAAATGTCTATGGCACAGGATCCAGTGCACTTAGCAGTCAGGGGGCCTAAAACTAGTACTGACACCCCTGATTGAACCCTGATCACCCCTGACACCCCTGATTAATGAGTGAAGATTATTGTAATAGCCCATGCATTCCTATTTATAAAGGCTGACAGTAATTACTGACTTTGTGACTTGCCACGCTGTTTAACACCTGTGTAAACATACATGGCTACACATGTGTCTTCATATCTCTTGCCAAGTCAGAATAACATGAAATTATTGGTAGGATTAATTATTGGCCCCCTTTCTGTCTAAGGTTTGTAGTTCCATACCCAGTTCCTAAATGACCAGGATGCTCTCAATGAAATTAAACATAGATTTCTTTAGCATTACACAGTTTGTAAAGGTACTCTGTGTTATTAATTTAATTTAGGTGGGGTTTAACATTTGCCTAGATGACCAAGCAACTCACTAAACACAGCTCATTAAAATTTAAATACTGTAAGAGGCACCATCTTAATACAGTCATTTCATTGCAACATGACTCTTATGTAATATATGGCATAATCAAATGACTAAAGACTACTATTGTATTCAGTGCTCGATGCCATAAATGTAAAATGTAAAAATGTAAGAGGGGATGGTGGTTTTACAGAGGGGATGCTTTTTGTCATTATTTTCAACAAGGGGGATGCCATTCCCTCGCATCCCCCCTCAACTCGAGCACTGATTGTATTACACACAGTATCATTTGCTTTGCCTACTGTAAGGGAGAATGGAGCAAACTTTTAGTCATCTTTGTCCTGTGGTCTGAGAACAAAGCAAGCACCCGTCATCTTCTCAGCCACACATTAACATATGAAAGGCACTCACAGTAGGACAGCCATCAAGGGCAACCAACGCATAAAATTTCAATAGGGAATTTCCCTAAAATTACAGGAACACCCTTAAATGTCTTCAGAAGTTTTTTTCAGAAGCTTGGAATATGATACAATATGATATTATATGCCATCTTTTTTTAAACACTTTATTTATAGGTGTTCAGTTTATAGAACGAAACAAAAACAAACATTGGCAGTATATAGTTGTTGTTGTTTCACTTTCGGCTGCTCCTGTTAGGGGTCGTCACCATGGATCATTGGTCCACATATTTTGATTTGGCACAGTTTTTACGCTGGATTCCCTTCCTGATGCAACCCTCCCCAATTTTATCCGGGCTTGGGACCAGCACTGAGAGCACACTGTTGCACGTAACCCCAGTGGCTGGGGTTGGTTTCCTGGCCAGGAATTTAATCTGGCCTGCAGCGGTGAGAGCGCTGTGGCCTAACCACTAGTCCTCCAGGGACCTACTATTGGCAGTATGTAGTATATAAGAGAAAATGGTATCAAATGAGGCATATGCTTTCGTTGGTTTCGTAGGTTTTAATATATCTATTCTGGAAGCTATTCTGATTATACCGCGACTTCTCTAGTGGAATCATAGAGAGTACTTCCTTAGCCCAGTGTTTAAACGAAGGAGATTTAACTGAATTCCATTGCAGAAGAATTAGCCTCTGGGCCTGCAGTGTTACAAATGCTATAGCATTTGCCTGGGGAGCAGTAAGCTGTTCTTCTAATGGAGACACCCCAAAGACAGAATCTATTGTCCTACCACAAATGTAGGAGATTGCTTCGAAAATCCTCACCCAGAAGTTACCTAGTAAATTGCATGACCAGAACATGTGACCTAATGTGTAGCTGGACTGTGGTGATATCTCGGGCACTAAGGGTTGGTGCCAGGGTACATTTTGGCTAATTTCTCATTTGAGTTGTGCAGTCGATGTATGAATTTGAATTGGATGAGATCATGTCTTATGCAGAATGAGGTGGTATGTATAACATTCTAACCTACGTTGCCATGTCTCAACAGATAGTACAATAAACAACAGTAAAATAAGAAATTTGGCAATTCCAGCCCCCTGCACATTTGGGCATCTCTAAGCAGGCTCTTTTGATTCATGGGGTAGAATTTAAAACATCTTTTTATATTTTGGATCTCTAAACTTATAAAATGACAGCTTTTCATTATACGGTTCCACTTCATTGGTGCTTTGTAAGAAAACATCAGCACAACATCATATTGTATTATAAGTATCATACTCTGAAGTATTGTAAGATAATATTTTTGTACATTACATATAGTACAGCCATTGCTTATGTGTGTTAAACTGAATAAGATGTAATCCAATCCTAGTCTAGATTAGACAGGATTAGAACTATAGTTCTAATTATAAGATAACTGTTACTGTTGATATTAGTTAGTTTTGTCATATGCTGTGTAAGGAATAGCTCATGAGAAGCCATGCTGTTATAGGAAAATAATCCACACCAGGGTGGTGTGATACGAGCCAATGTGAAGCAGAAGTGAATTATTTTATTATAAAACTGTGTTATTCCTCTTATAGCACAGCAATTTACCTATGATCACAAATTTTACTTTATTATTAAACATGTAGCACTTTTAAGCAATTATAGTTGCATTTAATGCTCTGCAAAACAAGTTACTTTCATTAAAGCAGCTATAAACTGTCACTGGTTTGGTTTAATGTTGAGCATTCCCCATACAAATCCCTGTGCATGTTACTATAGAAACAAAAATGTATTAGAACAAGCACATTAATATAAACCTGTCACTTATGTTACAACCAGAACTACCATCAGAGGTGCTGTTATAGAAAATGAATCACCACCTTCTGATCTGAGAATGCAACAGCACCATGGTATATACATTTATTTCTATCTCTTAAGCCATTAATGTAGATTTTTGTGGTTTTGTTGAGAACTAAATATTTCCATGTTCATGGTGGTAAAAGTATTCAGATTCAGCAAACTTCGTTTTATATTGTAGAATGACTGACTTGGATAAATTACCTTACCTGATTGTGCAAAGAAAGAGTTCACTGCAAAAAATGACATCTTAGCAAGTGGAAATATCTTGAATATAGTCAAATCTATCTAGTATTTTCTATTACAAGATTACAACAAACCAAATATAAGATTACTAAAACCTATTTCTAGACATTTTTACTCATTTCAAGATTGAAATAGTTTTGTTCAGATCATTTTTGCTTATTTTAAGCATTTATTTCTAGAAAGAAGTAAAATTATCTGCCAATAGAACAACAAAAAGGTAACGTTTGACATGATTAAAAATGTCTAGAAATAGGTTTAATAATCTTTTATTTGGTTTGTTGTAATCTTATAATGGGGAATACTAAATAAATCTGACTAGATTCAATATATTTTCACTGACTTCTTAGTGTGTATATGTGTTTTATGGTCTGACAAAAGAGATTGATCTGTTGGAGGTGGAGTCTGGCTACCATTCTGGAGTCAACGCTTTACCATGGGGTGTTCTTCAGCCAGAGGAAATAACAGGTCATCACTTCTCAGCCTTTTGGCTAAGATCAAGTGTAGTATCTGTTCTTATCAGTTTAATATCTGATACATTCTCCATTTGAGGACATTAAGCAGATTTTTAGAGCAGGGAGCTGGATGAGGGGCCTGCTCCATCTGCTCCACGCATCAACCTGCTATTGCAGTACCTCCGGGAATGGTTATTATCAAAATGTTGAAAGAAAGAAAGAAAGAAAGAAAGAAATGTCATTTTTTGAGAGGTGGCCCAGGGTATCAGCTATTGGTACTTTTCACACTTGGGATCCTGACAATCTCAATAGTCATTTTGAAATGGCGAGGCCATGCTGGTGCTTTGGTTCACTGCTGAAAAGACACTCATTTGTGCTCCTGTGGGGAAAAGGTGTCTCATTTGATTGTCTACATTACCTGTCATCAGCATAGTGAGAAAAGTAGCAATCTGTGCGATAATAAGAGTGCTTGCCCTGTAGATAAATATCAATCACCCCGATGATGCCTTTACGAAGAGCCCTTGAGCTTTTCTGATGTGATGAGAGTGAATATTGGGAAGGTCACAGTCTGTCTATAAGCGCAGTGTCTCCAGGGAGCTCCAGCATGGAGAAGGAGAACTTATAGCTGCAGCAGAAATGGCAAAAGTGTAAAGTTTCATATCTTCTTATGAAAGTCTATGACATAAATAAGAAATGGCTTGACTTTTACAAGGTTGAGTCTCATTAATAAAGAATCCAAGCAGTAATCCTATAGGCTGCTAACCTAAAACAGCATCTAGAATTACTTCATAATGTCAAGTATACAACAGAAGCAGCTTGCTGACAGAAATTTTGATGTTAACTCAAGGTGCTTCCTTGACATACCTTATGCAGTCTTTGTACAGCTCTGAATAAATCTAGCTGACCGAAACAAAATGTGCTGTGACCCTAAAGAAAAGAATAAAACAATGATGGCTCTAACAAGACTATATAAAGCTCATTGCATATTCATTTACAGTATAGAGAGTGTCCCGTCTCGAAATTGCATCTGCAATTTTACA